CTGTAACACCATAATCGTTACGTAGTCTTGCCAGCAAAACATCATGGTTTACACAATCAAATGCTGCTAACATGTCTAAAAACGATAGCAACGATAAGTTCTGGACGTCCATTGCCGAAAACAAACCAGACAAAACATGTAACAATGCTGTTTCAGTAGAATGGAACTGCCTATAACCGGATTGATTACAAGGCAGTAGGTTATTTTCAGATAAAAACTTTAAGAAACTTTTAGCCACTACACGTTCCATAATTTTCGAAATGAATGAACGATTCGATATCGGTCTGTAATTATTAACATAATTTTCATCACAACCTGTTTTCTTCAAGACGGGGAGAACCACAGCATGCCTGAAAGAGGAGGGAAATTCACCTAAATGAAGGCAGCAGTTAACAAAGCTGGTCAGAAATTTGATGAAAAATTTCATATACTTTTTTAAAATGTGACTTAGAATGACATCCTGTGAACTTGTCTCACACGGGGAATTGATTATAATATCTTTCAATTCATCTTTAGTGACCATCGGGAAGGATGAAAACATAACAGCATTATGTAGCCCACCATCATCTGTTGATTGAGTATAAACTTTGGTAGACTGAACAATTTTGCTAACTTTGTCCGTGAAAAACTGCAACAATTGATAGGCTGTAATACCAACATCACTATCAAACATTAAACTTTTCTTGTTTCTACACAACATTTTATTAATTGCCTGCCAATTATTTCTCGAGCTTTCGCTGACCTCGATTAAATTTCTCCAATAATCTGAACGTTTGTCAGAATATAATTTGTTTCTTGCTTTTATGGAAGTTATCCAATTATTACGATGATCATCTGTCGACAGTTTTCTGAAGATTCTTTCCATTTTTCAACAGGTTTGTTTAGCTTTTTCACAATCGTGATCAAACCATTCGACAAAGTCAATATTTTCCTATATTAACAACAGAAAGCACTGATGATGATTCATTCGGAATCGAAATATGGTCTTGTTTGCAGCATGAATTCGGAAAATAAGTTTATTTTGAATTTTAATAAACTAAACGTTCACCAAAAAACTTTAGTGAGAAAAATTGAAAAAACGAATTACAAACATATTAACGCCAACCATTCGGTAGAATTCATAGAATATTGTAAAAATTATGGTCTATTACCAACACACACACACACATATATATATATATATATTTTTATTTAGAAATATTTATATATTTATATAGCGCAAATTAAATACTTCAAAGGCGCCATCAAAAAGTGAAACAAACAAAATATCTGTGCGTGATCAACATAAATTAAAATATTCAAATTTAAGGTTTATCAACAAAAAATAAATATGTTTTTAATTCTTTTTTAAATGTCACAAAATTAATTCCAGGTCTTCTTAATGAAATGGGTAGGTCATTCCAAACCGTCGGATCCGCAACCGCAATATCTCTTGCACTTATTCGTAGATGCCTAGCTGGAACTGCCAAAAGATTCATATTATCTGATCTCAGATGAAAACATGATGCAGATGCTTTCGTGGAAAATTTATCTGAAATGTAAGCCGGTGACATTCCATTCATGGATTTGAACACAGTCACTGCAATTTAAAAAATTATTCTTTTCTCAATCTTTAATCAGTGAAATTCATTTAATATTGGCGTCACATGATCAAATTTCAATTTTCCAGTTACAAGTTTTGCAGCCCTATTTTGAACCGTCTGAAGAATGGCAATTGATCTATAAGGCAAGTTATAAAACAGACTGTTGCAGTAGTCCTGCCGTGATGATACAAACGCATGGACCAGATTTTCCAATGCTGATCTATTTAGCAAATGTCTAACTCGGTATAAATTTCTTAGCTGAGCAATGCTCGAAACTGAAATCATCTTGATGTGGTCTTTCATGGACAGTCTATCATTCAGCAACTCCTCCAAATTAGAAGCTATATTACCGAAAGATATATTTACTTCTCCTACTTTGATTGAAGTGATATTCATCCTTGATAACTGTTGCCATGTCCCAACCGGGAGGAACTGAGTCTGCGTTTGAATCATTTCCTGAAATCACTAAGAATGATCTCGTGAAGATTATACTTGATTCTCCGTCTAAAACGTGTTCACTTGATATCATGCCAACACACATTTTTAAAAAGTATCTAAAGTACTTCATAAGTTTTTTAACAAGTTTCATAAATTTTTGCTTGCGGAAAGGCATAGTTCCAGACTATTTCAAGCATGCCACAGTTATTCCGATTCTAAAAAAAAGTAGGTTGTGATGATGGGGAGATTGGAAACTACAGACCAATTTCTAATTTTCCATTTGTCTCAAAAGTGATGGAGCGTATTGTCATGAAATTTCTACTAAGCCACTTGACTAATAATAATCTTATGTCAAATTTGTATCCATTTCGATAATATACATTCACACTGTCCGTTAAACTAAATACAATAAAATACAACAAAACTGCATACCTCGTGCAAGTTCCCTACATACACTCGTTTTATCTTGCAAAAATTTTTACCTACCGCCGTATAATTTTAAATTACTCTAGTTGTTTTAGGTAAACATGTATCCATTTATTTATTTTAATGTTTAACTATAACTAATTTCACTAATTATTCAGTTTCATCTGCATTACAAGGTAACATTTTGCTTTCAGTGTAACTCTTCAAATTATTTATTCATATATATTTTTCATTTCGCCTGTTTTAAATCACAACACGTAACATTTTGGGTGCTATCGTATTTAGTTTTATTTTATTTTATATGGTTTACATTTCCATTTATTGCAATATTTGTATCTCACACAAGGCTCTGAAGATGGTGTTTACAACGAAACGACGTTGTTAGCCAGCCAAATTATATATATATATACATATATATATATATATATATATATATATATATATATATATATATATATATATATATATATATATATAACAATGTTTTTTATTCTAAAATATGAAATGTGAAATTAATTTAACCTTCATTGAAGTAGCTAGACAAATTGCAATTGATTGCAGGAATAAACGAAGCCAATTTTGATGAATATACATTTTCATTCTCTTGTATTTTTAATTCATTGTTCATTATTTCAAAAACTATCTTAAATTAAAATTTTTTTTTAAAAACATCAACCTGAATTTGTTAAGTGGTATAAATCCAGAATATTCTGTGTTTCAGTAGCGAGCAGTTTTTCAATGTATTTTACGTTAAAGTAATAGATGGAGGGATGGAAGAAATCAAGTTCACGTTCCACTTGTGTTGCGTCGTTTTCGAATGAAGAAAAAAAATCAAGAGCAATACCAACCTCACTAACGCAGAACATTAAGAAGAGCATCCCCAATGAAATTATCACTTTAGTAAATTCTTTATCTTTCAAACAGCAATATAATAAAACAAATTTATCTTGGCAAAAGTTGCACATTTTGTGATGGTTACCAATTAAACGAAAAAATGGGTCGCGAACGTCAGGCGTTTGTTTTTTGCAGCAGATGTTAACTGTGTGGGGAGTAAATTGTTGATATTTGATAATTTTTTTGTCAAAAACACAACGGTTCAAAGTTTTTCCTAAATATAAAAGTTTTACATCGGCTGATAATGATAGCTCATAGCTGTCCTTCGTAATTAATGTGCCATGAACAATTAAAATATTTATACTGCAAATAAATAGAATTGAATCAAGCACAGCACAAATAATCCACGCCCACGAAGAGAAAACGGCTTGATCAACCAAATGAAGCAATGCGCTTTCATTTAACATGTCTTTTTCAATCGTAAGATATGAAGTGAAATTTTTTTCTGACTGGTCATCCGGACGAAGTATTGATTCATAAGTAGGACTGCTGTGATGTTTTGTAACAATAGAAGACAAAGATAATTTATGAAATTTCTTCATTAAGCAGTTGACACGGAAGTTCATCTGTTTGATTAATGCTTCAGTGCGTATCGTCGTCATTCTAAATCTTCAACAAAATAATGTCAAAATTTTGATTCCGATCTTAAATACATATTAAATATAAAATTGTAATCTAACTTTAGATATAGATTATAGAAAACTAAAACGAATGGTTGAAAATCATCAATCTCGTATAATCTAAGGTTGTCTGAAAACAGGCTCATTGAATGATTTAAATCTTCATTGAAAAATGATTCTCCAAATAGTTTGTTATGACTACGTTTCTTTTTCACAACAATCAACGGAAACCAATTATTGCTTGGAAGCCATTGAATAACGAATCTTTTGTTATTAAATTCGACATTGACAATGTTATGGTATTTATTTTTAATTTTTTGTTGGTATGTGTGGTACGAAATTTTGTAAACTACAAAACTTTTCTGGATATGATTGTTATATTCTCGACTGAAAAACGTCAACCGTTCAGTTTTATGGTGAACTTGTTTCAAAACCTGACTAAGAAATTGAGTGTTTCTCAACGAACACTTGAAATAGAACTTCGAAATATTGTAATGCCATTCTTTCAGTGCTTCGCTGCTTATAACGTATTTGGCTGTTGCACGCTCTGCGGGTTCCAATCGAAAGTGACTCGTCAATATTGTGTGAATCACTAACAAAAAGACTGTCAGATTTAACGTCATTCCATAAACCAATTTGTATACAAAAATGAAAAATATATTTATTAATTTGTAATTTGCATGATTTTTGTCATAGAGGTCAATGAAACCTTTCGAATCGTAATTGATATTTTTGTCTGATTTGTTCAACCGATACGTTTTGAAAAGTTTGGCATTTTCGTAACATAAATGGCATATATAACTAATGGTGATAAATAGAAGCCCTGTTGCGCTCACCAAGTAAAGTACGCAGTATTGGCTATGGTAGTTTAATGAACGACTAATAATTATTTTATTTTCTGATTTTTTCTCCGATATGTTTTTTGGAGTACGTTTGAAAAACGTTAAAAAAAAAATAAGGGAAAGTTGAGAATCGTTAACTTGTAAACCAAAAGATTTAGAGGAAAGGTCGTTTGTGATGGAATTGTTCATAAATACGTTTAAATTGAATTTGAAATTAGTGGGACACGTAAGGATAATATCGTATATCCTGGAATGTTTCGAATCGTTGAAATTAATGGTGATATGGGATGGACAGGTATTTGTTTCACCTGGATCAAATTAAATTCATTTTAAACACTACCACATGTTATATAAATACATTTACGTTACCTTCAAATAAAATGGTCCAGTTTTTATCTGAATTTTTTTGGAGACGAACTGAAACACTTTTTTCAATCAAGTATCCAGGAAAATCAGACGAATAAAATTTTAAGATTGATTGAGTAGCTACAATTTTTAAAAATTATTTGTATCTAAAATTGTGCAAGTAAATCAGTGAAAATGTTGATGCACTAACGTTTGGTAGTGAATTTGAAGTACGGGGGACGAACTGCATTTCTAATGTTATATTTGAAACGGGAATCTTCTTTCCTGATAACGACGTGAATATCTTGAATGTCCGATTTATATTTGGAAGAACTCGTTTTTAAAGGAATCATGTGTTGATTAATTGTATCACATTTGTGCAGTTTGTTGTTCCAAGTGATAGAGCTTCGATAGAATGGCTTGTCATAAAAAAAAGAAACATTCATGCCATGACCATCCTCTACATTTCTTACGCGACCCCACTGAAAAAAAAACATGATTTTTTTTTAATTCAACACTTTTGCATATACAATAATACTTGGTTTGTTTCATTTCTGAATATGTAGTTTGCTGTTGGAAGAGATTTAATTTTAAAATTATCCCCTTTCGAGCCAGTAATTAGCGCTTCATGGCTCAATTCAAGTTCACTGTCGTGTTCAACCTTTAAAAAGTCTACATCCACAAATCCTTTTTTATAAAATTCTAGATTTGAAGCATACACCCTTTTGTATCGTTTTGCGCTTTCAAACTTAATCGCTGGGATTTGAATATAAACAAACAAATCGTATAAAAATAATTGAGATTCATGCACAAGATGGCAGGTAAATTCTTGTTTTAGATTTTTGTAGACCGGGGTAAGCGTGTATTGAAACAGATTTCCTTGAAATATTTATTCAGATGCTTATTTATAATTTTAAGTTGATTGATTAATCGTAGAAACCTGAGAGACACCAAAGAGAGGATTTGCACTGCAGCGAATAAACAAGCCTACAATCAATCGAAGACAAACATGATGCGCCACAGCACGAATGAATGTTTCTTTCATCAAAAGCATCTGAACAGATTTAATAATTTGCCCAGCCAATTATTGAAATAAAAATGAAAATTTACAATATTTTTCTTTTTGAGCTTTATGTTTTTAAATGCCTTTCAACTAAAAATGCAAGTTAAAAGGTCACTCTCTGTTGCGCTTGCTTCAGAATTATCAACTACAAACACACACAGCATATATGAATACGCGTGAAACCACGCATCATACACTTTACATATGATAAGCAAAGATCTCTTTGTATTCGAACCTGGCGTCCTTAACCATTGAGCCATCATACCAACTTGTTGAATTTATACATTTATAAATATTGTTATCAATTTTTGAATCTCCTGATTTGCATAAAAAGAGTAAATTTTTCTTGTAATTTAATGAATTAAATATTAAAAAAAATAAAACAACGCGCATTTACTGTAATAGTAAATTGATAAAATGATTGTTTTGTTTATTTAAACAAAACGAGGTAGCGATTCCTAATTTCAAAAAACNGGTTAAAA